TTGTGAAACGATCAATAAACTCTGTTAAACTTTTACCCAGCCTCCGTTGTGTTCTGCATGTGGGCTAAGAACCTTAAACCCATCATGACAGCTATTGGATGAATATGATTTGGGAGAAGTTCTGGTACCTCTTTCCTTGGAGCGGGCTCAAATCCGGTTGTCCAATTGGATCAATATTTTTATTAAATCCTCAAGTGTTTCAGGATCGTCGAGGGTGGCTAGTTCATCCTTTATGGAGTCATTGAGAGCGTTAGAATAAACACACTTGAGAGCCGCGCTATTCCAGCCAGAGGCTGCAGCCAGGATGTGGAAATCTATAGCAAAATCAGACACAGACTTCTGTCCCTGTTTAAGTTTCAGCAAATCACGGGAGCTCAGCATCTTATCCGGATCCTGGTTAAAAGTCTAACCTCTGCCCAATCCAGAGCTCGATCAGTGAGATGAGAAATTATATAGATCTTTGTAGAATCAAAAGGAAACTTACTTGGAGCGTGGTTGAACTGGATAAGACATTGCATGAGGAAACCCCTGCATTTCTTGGGGTTCCCATCGAACCTGGACAGACTGGGTAGCTGACACTCAGAAAAAGGGGGAGGAAAGGTTTCTTGGTTAGCTCAAGTTGGGGCTAGCTCACCGGCTGGGCCCGGAGCCTTGAGAGAAAAACTGACAGCCTCGGTTAAATCTATCACTCAGCGGTTTAACTCAGTTTGCTAGTTGATTAATTCAACCAAGGTGTTATCATGTCTGGTTACGGCAGTTTGTTGCAGATTGATGGCTCTCTGAATGGCCTCTGCTGGGTCAACAGTTTGGCCAGAGTGTTCTGTCATGAATCTTTTAAGAGATCTGACCCACATACAGAGAACCACTCAAAGAACCAGGGGAAAAGTTTAACAGGTTTATTGAGGAAATGACTACAGGAGTTGGATCTGAAATTTAGTGAACTGGTGAACCGGAACTGGAAAGTCTGGAGGGGAGATCACAGTGATCAGTTCAGGGACTGTAGGAAAATTGACTGAGGCCTAAATACTGTTGGAGTGGGACTAACATTTGAGGGGGTTCTTAATCCTTAAATACAGTCAGTGTGGGTTTATCCAGAGAAGAGGGAACTCGTTGGAGAATGGACAGGTAGACATTCGTTGGACCCGGAGGAGCAATGGAGCGGACTGTCACTTGGATTTCCGAAAGGGACTTGAATGGCACATGTGGATGTTTTCCCCTGCTCAGTGTGAACTCTGTTAATCCTTCGAGGGGGAGAAGGCCAGGCATCTATTTTCTCAGAAAGGCTTCCTGCCGAAAGGCAAAGATGAAAAACAATATTAGACTCAGAGGAACAAAGGCTCAGGTTAGACTCAGCTAATCTCAGCTTGGCTAGAGTACTCACAACTGGCAAACACTCTGACGTCGAGGTAGTGACAGTCCACTGCTCAAATACTCCTCAGTAATGATCCATCAAGCCACAGGTGTGCAGGAGGCCCAACAAGGACAGGACCTTTACACACAAACAACCCACACAAACTGGATTCCTAACACAGAGCGAAGCTGGTTAGAGTATATGGTAAAATGGATAGTTAAATTTGGTAAAGCTTGAAGAAATCTTTCTAGAAGCCGCAGAATACTAAAGACAGGAGCAGAGTTTAACATCCCTGCAGGACAATTAAATGTAAATAATTTGAAAAGCATAAACCTTAAATTTTCCAGTTCACTTTTTTCTTTCTTATGTTTGTCTTTCGTATAGAATTACACAGAAATGTATAGCAATTTTTCTATTGACAAAATGTGGAACAGTTTAAAGGGTATGAATATTTTTGTGAAACACATTCATGTTTGCTAAGTAAATCCAATCAAGTCTCTGAATAAAGGAGCCTCTATGTTTTGCAACTAAACCTTTCTATAAGAATCAATGTCTCCATCATGGCTAACAAGGGGGAGTGATTCTTTGGCATTTTGTAGCTGTCTTCCAACCCCTGAGTAGTGGCCTCTGCTATTTTTTTTCTCATCTTCTGCCCTATCGCTCCCAGTCATGTACTTCATTCTCTCAGACAGCCCCCGCAAAAATTACCCTCATGGACAATGTATGCTAACCACACCCAAAACGACCTCACGTTGTCCACCTCAGTGAGAAGCAGTAAGTAAGTTACTTTTCTCCTGCTCCGCTCTCTCGTTTTTCATCCAGAGGAGGTTGACACAGGTCTGTCTGAAGCATGCACTTACAGCCCTTTCACATCCACACAGCAAAATGTGCATGTGAGATGGAGAGAACGAGTGATAGGTGGGTCGAGGTGGCAAGGAGGGGGAGTTTCTTCAAAGGCTGTCTGCAGGAGTTGATAAGAAAGACTAGATTGGATCACATTACAGTGATGAGTCTGGGTTATAACAGATTGTTAAGAGAGTGCGTATCTGAGTAAATAGAGGTAAATTATGCCAAGGCAGTAGTCGAGAGAGACTCTTATCTGAGAATTTTGCATGAAAAGAGAGACCATAAATTCATCATGCTTATTGCGTTGTAAAATTCAGCAGCTGTGTTGCTGCTGGATGGATATTTTAATCTTATTTTTGCCTGAAAGTTCAGAGGAAGCCTCTGTCAGAAATAAAATAAAGGTGTAGCACAGGGTGTCTTTTTTCCAGGTGGATCTTCAAACTAAGTGGTCCTCCTAATTGTCAATCATTCTGGTAATATGGTTATGTAAGGCCATCCTACGTTCTTATGCCCATTTTCACTTACCATTGGTATGTGGTAAGCTTTTATGAGCAATGCAAATAGCCACGTTTTAAACAGAGCGTGCACAAGGAGAAATGGGCTTTTGTATGCTCTCGCACACGTTTAATAGGCGTTCCCTCTCAGGAGCGGGTACAGGGTTGTGCATGTCTATTTTTTTTAAGTGGAGCGGGCAGGGCTTTTCAAACATTCGCAAAAATCCTCCACTATACCTTTAAGATACCATGTGATGATGAAAATCCACTGAAACATGAGGGTCTTCCTTCCTTCCGTCCGTCCGTTGTGTGTACCAAGCAACAGCAACACTTCTTGCCTTCCAGCTTAGCTTTAACAGGGAGCAGTAAATGAGCCATGGATTGGAAAGAGGTTACCAGAAAGATGTTTTTGGGAGATGCACAAATCAAAGTGTCTGAATATCAAAGGCAGTGCACACAGAAACTCTCCTAACTGTCTGCACCACACAATGATTCATTGAAACCTCCATTGAGTTAAGCATTGAGCTGCTGAGGCGCAGAAGCTTATTTGCTTATAGAAGGGTTGAAGAAGTAACAGGCATCCCTGATGAACAGAAGGGAGACAGCTTGATTTTACTAGTTTTACTAGAAATTGTTTATCTTGCCTGCACAGATGTGAGTCTTAGTTCCTGTGTACTAAGAGTTAAAGCCTCAATGCCGTTTCAATCTGTAATATCCCCATGGTTAGCCTTTCAGCTTACCCTTTAAGACTGAGAACTACATTTTGCATTTGTCCCTGGTCGAATCAAAGTTCTAGTCCACAGTGAAAGAGGATGGCTGTCCCAGATTTTATTTGGATAGCTGGCTTGTCTTTGCTCATTAAAGCAGAGCTTTTCCCTTCTCTGCCCCATATTCTCTGATGAAAGAACCCCAGAATCAAAGGCTGTTAAGCACCCACACTGCTTCCACTATGTGTCTCACAGACACTGAGGGGATCTATAGGTGCATCCACAGACACTGGATCCAATATTTCCACAGATCCGATATTTATCCTAATAGCCTGCCAACAGCACTCACAGAAGAGGGACACTGGTCCTAATGCAGTTAGTAACTGACCAGAGAAGCAAGGCAGATTATTTTGCTGGTAAACTGTGATAATCTGCTGCTTCTGGCCTGTTTATCAGCAGAGGTCCAAATGAACTACACAGGACATCAACATCAAAGACATTGAACATGGCCTGGGGGGCGTTTTGGGGGGGGTCCCGCGGCGCTCGCAGCCGGTTCGCAGCGGATGCGCATGGGCCCTGGCTGCGGGCGGGGCCGCTTGTGTGTTTTTCTTGGGAGGTGCGGTAGCGGTGGGGGTTGCGGCCGGTCGCCGGGGCTTGGTGCCGGGGGGCGGGCCAGTGTTCGGTGCCCGGCCCTACTTCAGGGTGGCCGGCTGCCAGCGGAGCCCGCGGACTCGGGGGCCTCTTCGGGGCTGTCTCTCCTCCTCCCTTGGTGGGGGTCTGATTTCCGTGGCTGGCCCCTCCTTGGTGCCTTTGCTCTTGGGGTCCCTTTGGGCGCCTGGGGCTTTGGGTCTCCCGGCACTGGACTCAGTGCTCTGGGGGGTGTGCCTCTCCAGCTCTCCACACCCACTATTGAGCATTTTTTTCTATGGATAAACTTTACATGCACAAGTTCACCCTCACAAACAACTACAGGTGTTTGGCTACAGGTTCTTAGAGATTCACTTCCAAACAGAAACCCCACATTCATATCTTCCGGTAACACAGAGTACATGTCAGACTTAATAATATTACTTTAGTGATAGTTTCAAGGTGTTGCTTTATTGTATATCTCGTACCATGTCTTTTGGTTGTGCTGTTCTTTTTTCATCTCGTTACAGGTGATGAAGCAGACTGAAAATGTTTTGTCATTGTCTCCTTTCTATCTTCTATCTCTTTTCTCTTTTTTTTCTCTTTTTTCCTTTTTCTTCTGTTTTTCTGCTGTACTTACATTGCAGTGTCCATATAAACTGTAAAACTCCCTGCATAATTATAATAAAGCAATTTATATGCATGAAACAAGTGGAGCAGTATGGCAATTGCCATTCCGCTACACTTGTGAAAGTAAAATCTGTTGGGCTCTTTTTGGCATCAAGACAATTATTCTTATTGCCACATTGCCAGAAAGGACACTGTTAAAAAAAAAAAAAAAAAGAAAAAGACATTGAACATGCATGATATATATGTAGTGGGGTATTGCTCCACAACTTCAGACACCAAAAGAAAATCAAATAAAAAAAAACTAATTAAGTTAGCACAGAGACGTAAATCAAAAAAGCAACTTACCAGAATCCTATCCTCTGTTTTGCCATTTTTGGTGTCAAGCTTAATGCTGCAAATTAACTTAATGGATGATTTATCGATTATCTTCCTGATGCTCTCTGTGAAGGAAAAACCAAAGGAACATAATGATTAAATTAGACTGATTGGGCCTTAACAATTACCATATATGACACATTTATAAACGTTAAAGTGCCTTAAGAGATATATTTTGATCGCATTTTCTCAAATCAAAACCCCCAAATTCAAGGTATTTTGATGGGGTTGTTAGGTGAAAGCCCAACATTTACCTGTGAAACTAAAGGCAAAATATGTGTGATACGTTTGTATTCTACTCCAATTAATCTGATAAATTTAAATAAAGCCCATTGCATACAGGTATGTGTGGAAGAAAAACAACAGTTAAGGGTAAAATGTTTAGTTGTAAATACATGGTAATACTTGAAAAAGCCTGATAGAAGTAAAAAAGATAGCAGCAGTACAGGTTGGGTGACTATTGAACAAAGCAAAGTTGAGTGCAAAAATTACCTATTTAAAGCTCAGATCCATTTAAAATACAGTGCACATTTTTAAGCATGACTTGAAATTTGATCTTTACATGATCTTGATCTAGTCTGCTTGAGCTCGAGATGTTGTGGTTCCAGTTTGTGGGGTTAGTTTGTTTTCTTTTTTCAGTTCCACCGTTAGTCCACCAGATGGTGCCTTCTTGTTACTTCTGTATTGGAGGGCTTGCCTACAGGTCTCAATTACCCTCACCTGCAACATATCTCTCATCACCTCAGAGGAGTATATGAGCAGCTGACTGTCATCACCTCTCCGCAAGATTGTTTGCCTGTTTGGGGTACTCTAGCCCCTCTGAGCTTTTGCTCAGTCAATCTCTGTACCTTTACTAGTGAATTGATACTTTGGCAGAGAACCTTCACATCCTCTGGGATTTTTCAAGTCCTTCCAGCCCTGGAAGAAAGCCTCTCGAGACGCTGAGATTTCCACAACTCACCTCATTTGAGCTCCAACCTCTTCTGGATTCTGAGTTGACAGTCTGCTCTGCTGCTCCTCTGTGCCACCTTAAACTTACCGGTCCGCCCTCCAACGACTCATCAACCTTCCACCAGCCAAGGCCTCCACAAACTGGAACCTCTGACCACCCTCCAACTCAGGCAGCTAGTTCAAGTAAGAACAGTGCATCAGTCTTCTGCATTTTGTCCCACCAACTGTGAACTCACCTTATCACTATCTCCTTATGTGCAGTCGCACCTGGATTCCTGGCGCAGGACCCACCAAGCTGGGATAACACGGTTTCTGTTTTTTGTTTAAGTGAAAAAATAAACGCTCTACTTCTACGATCTCTCTGTTGTTGTTTCTGCATGTGGGCAAGAAGTATTAGACCCATCACGACACGAGACATCTTACAAAAAAGAATGGGGAACATTTTCAGCACTTTATGCAGGGGCTTAATGCCAGTGCATGTAACATTTACAGATATCAACAGCTAAATTTGAATTTTTTTTTTAAGCCATACATAATTTACTTATACATTTCTATAATGCCTATTTTGTACTGGTCTTTCACATAAAGCCTGTTGGGATCTGAAGATTCTCCACCTTCTCCAGCAGAGTGTGCTATGGATCTGCTGGGCTGGAGCACTCTAGCACAGCTGACGTTCATCAGCCCATCAGGAGACCTGCCTATTTAAGCAGCTGCCAGACCTTCCTTCAACGCTGCAGTGTTGACCAAGTTTGGTTAGCGAACCTGAGCCTCTGTTACTACTAGAACCTTTGTCTCTAAAGAGAAACCCAATTCTAACCTGACTCTGTCTTCTCGCTCCTAGGAAACCTGTCTCTCGTGTGAAGCTCTGGAAGAGCTTAGCCTGTTACCTGCCTGTCTGCCCTAGAGAGCCAAACCTGAAGATCTCCCTCTGGAATCCACCTGCTGCTCTCAGGGAAAGAGCTTATCACTCAAACCAAGGTCTGACACTAAACAGTCAGAAGCTAGACGCTGCTGCTGCTGAGCACTCTGCTGAACCAACAGTCTCTGGACCCAACCGGTTCCCTCTCTCAGAGAAGAAAGCCTGAACCTTGTCAAGGTATTTTCAGAAATATCAGAAAACTCAACAACTCATCAGTTAACCTGGCTAATCAAACTATCCGTCTCTGCAGACGCCTGAGAATCCTGCCCTGACCTGTTTCCTGAATCCAGTTCATGTTTACTTGTGCAAACCTTTAATAAACTCTGTTGAACTTTTTATTCAGTCTCCAAGTGGTGTTCTGCATGTCAAACACAAAGCCAAACACAAAGCCCAGCAGATCACCTCCGGAGGAGGCTTGAGGAGCAGGACGCTCAAATCCTAGGTCATGCGCACACCCTCCGTGAGTTACACAATAAACTTGAATATCAGAACCAAGTCTTGCAGAACTTTGCTGGCTACATGGGAAATGCTAATGCTACGCCTGCAGTCCTTCCTGTTCCGGAACCACTTCCGCCACTAAGGTCACCGTCCGTGACGTCATTTCCTGAGTTCGGTCCGAGTCCTCCTGAAAGATTTTCAGGTAATCAAAAGGAGTGTAAAGGATTTTTGTTTCAGTGTTGTTTGCTTTTTAAGCACTCACCTGGCAGTTTTCCAAATGATAGAAAAAAGATTTCCTTCATTGTCTCTCAGCTTACTGGACGAGCCCTTGAATGGGTGGAGGCAAGGTTCTCTTCTGAGTCCAGTTTTTCATGTACCTTTTCAGAATTCATATCTGAGTTTTCTCAAGTTTTCAACAATGACTCTGATAAAACAATTGATTCCCGAGCCCTGATAAATTAAAAACAGGGAAATTCGACAGTAGCTGAGTTTTCCATTGACTTCCGGGTTAAAGCTGCAGCCTCAGGTTGGAACGAGTGTGCACTTAAGAGTGCTTACTTTAAGGCTCTGAATGACAACATTAAAGATGAACTCGCCACATTAGACGAACCTGCTAGTTTGGAGGATTTAATCCGTTTGACCATCAGGTTGGATAACAGACTTCGGACTAGAGATCACTCAAGGCAGAGAAACCTGAATTTCTCTGTTTCAACTTTTTCTGGTTCCCCAGAACCCAGTACCAAGCCAAGGTCTAAGAATCAGACTCTCCCAGCGCCTGTCCAAATCTCTCATTTTTCTTCTTCAGAAGGAGCGGAGGCCGAACCCATGCAAATTGGACACACCAGGCTATCCCCTGAAGAGAGGCAATGAAGATTCAAAGCTAAACTGTGTCTGTATTGTGGTGAGACTGGCCATTTTATTGCTTCTTGTCCGGCTAAATCAAAAGCCAGGGCCCGTCAGAGGATGTGAGGAGTCTGACGGTCCACCTAAGATATGAAAAAACTCCTCATTTCTTGTTGCCCGCTACTCTGTTCTTTTCTAACCAGAATCTCACCTTGTCAGCATTCATCGACTCTGGCTGTGAAAGAAACCTTATTGATTCAGAACTGGTCCAGCAGTTAAAGATTGAAACTGTTCCTTTAACTAAACCTCTCAGAGTTTCTGCTATCGATGGAAAGAAGCTTCATCAAGTCACTCATCAGACATAACCCTTGGAACTGCTTATCTCTGGAAACCCCCGGGAGAGGCCAACATTTTTTGTTTTTCCTTCAGCTTGCTCTCCCCTGGTGCTTGGATTCGAGTGGTTGGAACGTATTAACCCCCATATCAACTGGGCTGAACGCCACATTGAATCCTGGTCCACCTCCTGTCACGAATCCTGTCTTCGTTCTGCGGCTCCTAATATTCAGTCCCCTAGAGGTAGGGGGGAGATGGACTCTCCTTACCTTACTTCTGTTCCTCCCGAGTATCATGATCCGGCACCAGTCTTCAGTAAGGTCAGTGCGACGTCCCTTCCACCTCACAGACCATATGACTGCGCCATAGATTTATTACCAGGAGCCCCTCTTCCATGCAGTAGATTGTATAATATTTCCAAACCAGAGCGTGAAACCATGGAAAAATACATCAACGAATCTCTAGCTGCTGGAATAATTCGACCATCTTCATCTCCTCTCGGTGCTGGTTTTTTCTTTGTGGGTAAAAAGGATGGTTCCCTGCGCCCCTGTATAGACTACAGAGGTTTGAATCAGATTACCGTCAAAAATAAATATCCCCTACCATTACTGGCATCAGCGTTTGAACCTGTACAAGGTGCTACAGTGTTCACCAAACTCGATCTAAGAAACGCCTACCACCTCCTTAGAATAAGAGAAGGGGATGAATGGAAAACGGCCTTTAAGACCCCTTTAGGGCAATTTGAGTACCTGGTCATGCCTTTTGGCCTCACAAACGCTCCTGCCTGTTTCCAAGCTGTTGTCAATGACGTCCTCAGAGATTTTTTGAATGTTTTTGTTTTTGTCGACATCAATGATATTTTGATCTACTCCAAGAACCTCTCAGACCACAGGAAACATGTTCGTTTAGTCCTTCAGAGACTTCTGAAAAATAAACTTTTTGTGAAAGCTGAGAAATGTGAATTTCATCAACAATCTGTCACTTTCCTAGGGTTTGTGCTCGAGGGCGGGCAGGTGAAGCCATCAGAAGACAAGATAAAGGCAGTTCTGGATTGGCCTACACCTGAAAACCGCAAGCAACTTCAGAGATTTCTTGGTTTTGCAAACTTTTACAGGAGGTTCATAAGAAACTATAGCCAGACAGCTCTACCTCTCACAGCTCTTACCTCTGTTAAGAGAACATTCCAATCGACCCCTGAGGCCGAAAATGCCTTTAATAAATTAAAGAAACTCTTTTCCAGTGCCCCCATCTTGATTCAACCTGATCCTATAAAACAGTTCATCCTAGAGGTGGATGCATCTGATTCCGGCGTAGGAGCTGTTCTATCTCAGCAGTCAGATTCTGACCAGAAAACTCACCCATGTGCATTCTTTTCACGCAGATTATCCCCAGCCGAACAAAATTACGCTGTTGGAGACCGAGAACTTCTTGCCATTAAGCTCGCCCTGGAGGAATGGAGACACTGGCTCGAGGGGGCTGAGCATCCAGTACTGGTTTGGACAGACAACAAGAACCTGGCTTATATCCAATCTGCAAAGAGATTCAACCCACGGCATTCTAGGTGGTCCTTGTTCTTCTCAC